GTATCACATGTTTTACCTGTCACACCTAATTCACCTGAGGCTTATGACACCTCTTACTTACATAACATATCTGACACAAAAATTGATATATCTGACATATCTAGAACAATTAAAATATCTCAGATATTTTTGTACATCTTACATATCATCTGATGTAGTTAACATACACAACACACTAAGTCAACTGACTTATCTGAGACAATTCAGATATCCGAAATATTTGACGCAAATTAATCGTTCTTAATTTTCATTAATTTTTGCCTTAGAATAATTTCCTGCTGTTATGTTATGTGTGAATGGTTTGAGTAAAAAATATAATTTCTTTTCATTATTAGAAATATATCTGTGATGATCGTTGAACAAAACAGAAGTAAAATTATAAAAATGAAATTATTTTACAATAATAATAGACACCATCTCAATCAATCAAGTTACAAAATTAGGTCAATGTAGCTACAATGCATTACACAAATAGTATTTTCGTGTCTGAAACAAAATCCCATTTTGCTAAGTGTATTATGTATCCTTTTGATTGCTTATTACAAAATGCATAGAGTCAATAAGACGACGAAACTGGAGACAACGGCAGTGGGTATATGTAGAGGGAGAGAGTAATGAGACTATATAAAGATGATTAAAACGAGTGGCACCAATGGATCGAAAGAGCTATTATATATAAAGGTATGATATGGTTTGGTATTTGCGAAGACTGCTCTCTCTCTCTCTCATCAGCACTAATTAAAGTAGCGAAAATGAATTATTGACATATCAAATATAGAACAGACCATCCGTTTCAGTGGGATCAAAGGGTGTCTGTTGTGGAATCTGATTTGGGCGGACGATGATTCAGTAGGGATAGCACAATATAATAGGTAGGAATGTTCTTCCGGTTCGGGTGTTGCTATGTATCATCGCCTGGTCACATATCACATTTTCCGCGGCCAGAATTGAATATTAAACGACTCAATTCATTAAATTTTCATTACGCACCGAGCGATAAAATGTAATGTGCAGTTGTTTGCATCAAGTTTATTGATGAACGGTTATGGCATTATACAGAATTTGTAATCTGCTTAATAAAAATGCATTCAGGTCAATTAATAACCAATAATTCATTTCTTAAAAAAACATTTATTTTAAAATACTGTAATACCTTGCATAGAGCTGCTTCGATTAGTCCGGATGATTAAAAAAAAATATTAAAGCAAATTATATATAAATAATCGGTTTTGTATCTATTATTATATTTAGTTTCTACATATGTCCGGTTATGTTATAAAAATGAAATTATTATTTTATTGTAATTTTTTTTTAAACTTAAAATTAATTTCCCGGAGTTCCAAAAATGATCCTTTACGTACTGTAAATTTAATAAATTTTTATAATTTTAAATATGTTATTGTAAAATTTCTTCTGTTCTATTAGGAGGTTACTCCTACTTAAAACTCTGTGATTTCATAAATACCTTTTCAGTTCAATTTTTTTTTAGTTTATTACACCTCACTCAATAAGTACGTAGGATGACAGATGACATATATATATGGAGGGTCTATGGAAAAATCCATATGATTTTTAGGAAGTACCAACCTTCAGACGACGCCTGTCAACATTTCATGACAATCTGACGTTTAGTTAATTGTTATTTTATTGGTCATTTTACGAACATATTGAGTAAGGTGTTATGTACATTTAAAATTTCGTTAATAAATATAATATTATATAAATACTTAATGATATTAGCTATTATCTAATGTGACTAATATTAAATTTGTAAAATAATTGCTTGAAAGTGTACCTGTAATGCATTGAAATATCATTTAATTTAATTGCAAGAAAAGGTTTTATTAAGCTTTTAAATATATTTATTAAACACCACTTATTGAGTTTATGTACAAAATTATGAGTATATTTTATAATTCATCAGTTACTTAATTACATTAAAGCCTGTATAACCCGAATTGCATTATTTATGTTTGTAAATACGTTTTACTGGACAAAATAAACACTTTATTGATATATTAAACTGTTTGCTTTAGAATGGTGTAAGCCTTTCGGCACATAAACAGTTTACTGATGCGATTTTATAGCTCAACATTGAAGATGTGTATTATGGCTTCACATCCGAATAAAGTTTTGTAAAAGCGTGTAGTATCTTCATAAATATATTATTTTTATATGCGCATTTCAGTCTTTTATACTGTTGACATTATTTACTATAATATTTAGTAATCTAGATTTTGATGATGATGCTTTACCATAAAAATAATTGAAAATAATTATTTAAAACGTTATCAACATTAGAGTACAAGTAATTATGTCATCAAAAAGATTTAATATTTAGTAATATGGATTTTATGACTGTATACGTCCATTAAAATAATTGATAACTAGTTAAGGATCATTTAATAAAACAGTAAATTTCGTAAGTGTTTTTTTCACGTAGAAGCCATTTTCCCATCTTCTGGATCTTTTCCATGGCTTTCAAACAGCTTCTCATATTTAATTGTTGTGAAAACGGCGAGTTGTTCGCTGTCTTCAAACTTGTTCGGTGGTCTTCCACGTTCTTCGTTTTTTACGTGAAAATCTCCAGTCTTGAATTTTTTAAACTACTCAAAGTAATGTGATTTACCAAGAGCATGAAAACGTAAGCTTAGACATGCATTCAATTCTGGAACCGTTTTTTTTCAAATAGTAACAGAAAATCAATGTTGTCCGCAAATCGTAGTCATATCGCAAATCGTAGTCATATTATAAGAAATTATATTTTACATACGTATTTTTAGAAGGTTTTTGTTAAATGGGATATTTCACTATTCAAAGGTGAAATTGCATTTGCGGATGAACTTGTAGCTAAATGAATTTCCAGTTGAGAATCCTCTTAAGGTTGATGATATAATAGAGGTCATATTTTGATCTGCTGGATTCTCAATCGTAGAGATGATGACGAAAAGACTCCTCTGCAAAAGACTTTAGATATCCAAAGAATTGGAAAAGCTATACAGTTTAAACGGCAATTGACATCATTGATAATAAATTTAATAATAATTATACTTTTTTATCAGTCAATTTTCTTATTTCTTCTATGCACTGTATATATATTTACAAGATATTTTTTAAGCGAATCTTCATGAATCAATCCACCGCATTAATATAGGTTTAAGTGTATTAACATAATTAAAATATTATTTAATAATGGATTGAAAAAACAATAAATCTAATATTTTAATAAATATTTTTTTTTACTTCATAGTTTATGTTGATATTTTAATCAATAAGTCATAATTAATGGAACTACATTTATTTGCATAATTAATGATAAGAAACGCGACTACGATTTGCAATGATATATTTTTAAAATAAGTAATATATTCTGAAGAAAAAACTCTATGTAGTAATAATTGAGTTGATGTTGAAAGATTGATTGAATTATATAATTATTTTTATAATTATTACATAGGAATCGGTATTGTTTGTAGTTTTTTTTTCTGAATTAGAATTATACAAGTGATGATTTCTGGATTTGGGTGTGAAAGGTGAAAGTGAAATTGAAACATCGTATATTCAACAAAAAAAAACAGGTATTTTATTTAATTACTAATTTGTGTAATTTGAACTTGTGCAGCATATATAAATGGATCTTTTTATCGGAATGTTTACCATCCTGAGCCGTAGTTGTTCAAATCGGATCCGTAATATCCTCCGCTGATTCCACCGATGCTTCCTCCAACGATTCCACCGTGTCCAATAATTCCAGAACCGATTCCGACACCTCCGATACCAGCACTGATTCCGCTGGTGGTGTGAGAGTGGGTGTGGACGGGTACTACGACTGGGGTTGGTACAGAGACTGGTACATTCCTGATTACTTCAACTGGGTATGGTTTTGGTACACTGACTGGGTATGGGACGGCATGGGGCACTTTAACGACGACTGGTACCTTGACTGGGACTGGGTGTGGGACAGCAACTGGGTATGGTTTCGGGATGTGGACTGGTACCTTAACGGCAAATGGAACTGGTACTGCCTTGGTGACGGTAACTGGGAAGGGTTGTGGTACTGGAACGGCAACATTCTTGGTCACAGTAACAACAGCACCACCAATACCACTTCCGAAACCGGCGCCAATACCGCTTCCAAAACCGAGGCTTCCATATCCACCTCCGAAACCGCTGCTGTATCCACCGACTAATCCGCTGTCGTAACTACCTCCATAACCTCCCAAACCGTAAACTCCGCTGCCGTAGCTGCTGTAACCGCCAATTCCTCCATGATGAAAGATGGATCTCTTCTCCTTAGTAGAAGACTCTCCACAGCTAATGCCGCTGACGCACAGGGCTACCAAAATGCACTGAAACAAAAAAATATTAAAATTCAATCACCGAAACAAACTAAACATCTTCTCTTACCGCGAAGGCTTTCATTCTTGTCTTGGGACTGGGATGTGAATGATACCGTTCTCGAATTCGTCCGTCGTTTTATACTTTGGTAACTAACAATCAACCTGGATTTCTCTATGTATCATATCGGAACATTTCGATTTCACAATTTTTTTTTTGCGCCTCATCTGTCTTCCGAGCAAACGTTTGGGATTTACATAACGTAAATTTGACAAGTGTGTATATCTTTTACTATTACACCTTTCCAAAATACATCTGCTTTTCGTTTGTGGATTTTAAACATCTCTGCGGTAATTGTGAAAGACGCATGGAAATATGATGGAAATGATTGCACAACTTGTATATTGTCTATTAATTAGCATTTCATACAAAGTAAAAGAGTTGATATGTTTTTAATTTGAATATCAAAAACTAACACGATCTAAATTCTATTGAATTCCATTTTTAATTTGAACAATTAATTATAATTTCATTAAATTAATTAAAATTTTAGTCCATTCTAATTTATATTGACCATAGGTCTTTAGATCTTTTATACAACTTATGATCAACTTTTCTTGCAACTATTTTGTGAATTTATAACAATAATAAATTATATTTATATAATAAATGCTTAAGATAATTCTAGTACTTATTCTGGTAATAATTGAATAATTTTATAAATAATTGCAGATAAAATATGAAATAATCGCATGAATCTTAGTAACATTGAATATTCTATTATTTAGTATATTGATTTTAATTGGTTTTTTATTACAATTTTTATCTTGTTGTTTAATATGCGATAAGAAAAGAGATTGGAAAATTATCCTAATGTTTTGGCTACAAACTTACTAGATAATTTTTATTTATTGAGTAATTATTTCATTCCAAATTTTTGCAGAACACTATATTAACTTTCAGCCGAACACCAGTGTTCCGCTGAACGACATGGAGAATAATAAGTACTGAGATTTACAATTTTTTGTCAATTACAATTTCCATCAGCTTCATATGTATGTACCTTTTCATGATCGTATATAAATAATTTTCATGTGAAAAGCATTAAACATATATAACGAAGGGAGATGTGATTTGCAAATCGAATTATGGAAATTTTCAGTAATTAAACCTATTTAATTTTATACAAAATTACACTTTTATATAATTTCCATTAGCTTTCTATTTGGAAAATATTTTAATTAAAGTTTTTTCAAAATTTATTTACTTTTTCACTGTCAATCTTAGTCCATTAAGAAATCACGGTTTCTTTCTTAATGAATAATCGTGAGATGAAGATTTCCAATTTGTATTATAAATTCAATCGATATGTAAATCTCTCTGGTAATTAAACCAGACGCAACATTCATGAACTTGACCCAGACGTTTATTATTTCATCAATGCTCGCTCGTCTTAATTAGCAATGCAAATGTATAATCAAAAAAAAATAATATGCGTATAAAATAGATGTAAAACTATGAATGTAATGATGTTCAGTTAAAAAATAGAAATTTATATTTTGCTGCGTAACATTGGAATTTCAACACCGCGCTTTTCCCATCGCCCAAAATTGTGCTCAGTCATAAACTTTATATGCAATAAATTAGATGTTCAAGAGGTCAACCAATTTACTACACATGTCGATAAATCACAATTGCAATTCAAATACAAATTATTTTATAGATGTTATATAAATAATATATGAAATAAATTTATGTATACAAATATAATGACTCAATTAATTCGGTATTTCAATGTATGTTTAATTAAACTATTTTCAGCAATTTATATTTAATTGCAATTTGAAATATTATTTATAAGACTAATAATTATTTTACGATAATAGCCAGAACATTAGTATGTGACTCCAGTCTATCTTGGTATCTACTACTAAATGTTGATATTGTATCCTCGACCATATCTATATGAAGATCTTCGTGTATTTATTTATTCCATGACGAACCTAATAATATTTCTTAGGTATTTTGATTGGAACCTTTGTATGTTCGATCACTATTACTTTGTATATAAGTAATTTATTTTCCATTGATAATTCCCTAGAAGCAAGTAGATTTTTCTAAACTCTATTTCTGATTGCTCCCACTTAATGTGATCTTTTAATTTAAATTTATTTAATTTTCTAGGTAAGGATTTGTCTACTTTACGAGATCTACTTATGTTTTCTAATAACTTTTTAATTTCAAACTAATTGAATCTTATACAATGTTTTTTAAAAATTAAATACTAATGAAAATATTAAAGAATTTAATGGATTTTTTGTATAATATTTTTGTCAACAACAAATTCACTATAACTATTTTCTTTTTATTATTAACTTCAATATTTTATAACAAATAATATTTCAACTACTACTTCTATTATATTTCTAAATTTTTTCCGCTGAATGATAATTGGTGTTATGGAACTTGGAATGAAATAATTTTTAAAAATAAATAAGGTGTTTCGTGAAAATTTCAGAATTTACAAAGTGTTGGGTTGCAGGAAAAGTTTGAGAAACCCTGCTCTAAGTAAACATCCGTTATTTTTTAAAAATATTTTTAATAGTTTTTTTTATATAAAGTGAAAAGTTATATGATAATATTTTAGAAATAAAGGCTGATGAAAATTGCAATTGACGAAAAATTGCATATTGTATAATTTTGTACAAAAGTATTGGTTTAAATTAAATTAAATTGGAAGTTTCAGTTTCTGATTACTCCCTACGTAAATGTTCGTTTATTATATATTTAATGCTTTTTCTATGTAAATTAAATTTATTTTACGTTTTTTATTCGGCAAAGAAAGGGAATTTAAATTATGAAAATATGGCATTTCGATTTTTTTTATTAGAAATAGAAAGTTGATGAAAAAAGTTTTATATACATTTTTTATTTTGAAATTGTGTGGAAAGATCAAAGGACATGAAATGATTCATGTATTATTTATTTGAAACATTTTTACCGAAATTGTTTTAAAAAAAATGTAAAAATTATTAATTATATAAAAAAGAAATTTTATGTAATAATAACTATTCATTAAATAATCATTATCATTAATATATTTTATGGATTTAATTTTTTTTTTATTTTTTTTAAAATACACTTAGGCCAAAGGGATTTTATTCTTTCTTTCTCTTAGTTTCTGAATTATAACAAAAAGTTTGTTGATAAATTTCTTAATTTCCTTAATATACTAATTGCCTTGATTGAACCACTTCACGCATATTATATTTTCATTTTATTTATTCTTGTAATTATTTTCTTTTAATAAATTATATAATTTATATATACAAACATTTGCATAAATTGTAAGACTAATCATTGTCCATACATTTTTTATATAGTCCAAATTCAATATTATTATGGACATTTTTCTTTTCATTATCGATATTTCTCTTATAAGATTAAAAATTAAAAGTTATATTAACGAACATATTTAGCATTATTTCTTTGACCTTAATTAAAGAATGGAAGAACCTTTGATCTCGCATTAAAGTATAAATGAGCACTCTCTAATTATCGATAAAACAATTATTGTCGCACTTTTAACTTTTTTTTTGGTTTTAACAACGTGAGCCATTTTTCTGCGAGAGAGAACAAAAAGTAATTTCAATACAATAAGTGTTTTCTTATCGTTGCCGAAACTTTTATCGAAACGTTCCTAATTGAATCTTCCTTGCATTCTCGAGAGACTAACTTATTTTTCATCTTTCTCCGACATAGAACAAATACATTTTTATATCTCTCATACATAAAGAGTCGGATATCGTTTAAAACATCCAACTGAAAGCAAAATAAAGTTTTAATTTAAATCAATGTCTGTGGACGAGGTTTAAAGTAAATGAGATGGATTATTAATGCAAAAATAAATCACATATTTAGATTATTTTTTGTGAGAAATTAAATTTTTTAAATGAGTTATTATAATAAACCTACATCGAAAAGATGAAATTACTCATGGTTTAAATATGTTCTGTTTTTAAATCTTAAGTCTTTTATCCTATCCTCTTATATTAATTGTATTTTTATGAGTTTATTTTTTTTAATAAATATGTATTTTTTTTAATAAAGCTTTATAAGCCTTCAATAAATTACATAATTAAAGTGAGTTTGGTTATTTATTTTATGAATGAAGTTGACCAACTTCATTCATAAAATAAATTCTAAGAATAATAATAATTAATAATATTTTTTTATATCAAATGTTGATATTTTTTGCAGATTTTTTTTTTATATTTATTTATATACAATTTTTACATCATCTATTATACATATTTTTATTATTATTTTTCTTATGTGTATACGTATGTGTATGATTCTGTTGTTTCGGCATGCTCCTTGGAACCGGTGTTTGAGTTTTATTTGTTCTATGTCTCCGTTCTGTGATTTTGTATCCAACACATCATTTTTATTTTGAACTTATTGATGTCGTTTTTATTCTTATTTCCTCTGGAAACATATTATATTGTGCAACGGCCTGCACCAGCAAACTCCTGTTCATTATGTTAGTTGAATTTTGTTCCATCCTTATATTTGTTCTAGTTCTCGTATTATGATCATGGGTATCGCAGCTGAAAGATAGGTCTAATAAATATTATTTATAATTGATTATTTTATACTTTAATTCAAATTAAAAAAAGTTTAAATTTATTTTATATAACAAATGTAAATTTATTATATTTCAAAAGAATATTTATAACATGCAAAACAAAAATCGAACTGTTTGATAGTTGCAATATTTTAACAAACATTTGTAAATAACAAATATAAAACGAAAATTTTAACCGAATTCAAACTTTTTATGGTACTGAAAATTTATATTCACTGATGGTTATTGATTGGAAATATCAATAAATAATATATATTTTGTTTTACTCTAACTAGTTTTTCTATATTTACTTTTTTCTAGTATTCGGATATAAAATAATATTTGTTGTTACCTAATTCCAATTTTTTGTTTCTATAGAAACTTCACTTAAAACGTATTTTTTTTTCTATTTTATGAATAATAAAATTATTATTAGTGCATCATAAAAGAATTGTATGCAAATTAGAATTTTTTTTTAAAGTGCGTGTACTTTCTCATTATATACAT